TCAACAGCAGTTAGAGTCCTGTGTGAAATAAACCTAAGCTGGCTAGGGAGCTGAAGTCATAGAGCTGCGTGACAGATAGGTTGGCTGGCAGGTAGATAGACTGATGGATTTTAGTAAGAGTAAAGGGTTTTACCAATCTTACCCCCTCCCTCTTCACTCACTCACAAGTTAAAATGATCCTATGTTTTTCCCTGCTCTAAAAAGTAAGAAAATATAGGGAGCTTCCTATGTCCCTGGTTTTCTTAAAATCCCACAACCATAGAATCATTTTCCATGACAGGAAAGAGCCTGAGTGTTAAAGAAGGAAAACATGGCCCTATCTAGGGGTACAGAAGGCTCCCTCCAAAACAGGACAGGAAACAGGATTGTGACGAGTTCCCCAAGTGACAGCCTGAGTGGAAAATGAAGGTAAGAACCCTGACCTTGAAAGACCTTGAGGGTGCCCGGTGGCCTGTTGGAGGCAGTGAGGGGCCGGCTGGGCAGTGGCCTTGGGAGCCGAGGTGGCCAGCACCGTGAGCCAGTGCTGAGCAGCACTTCATGCAGTGGAACGCTCAGTGTAGGGTTTCAATTCCACGGTAAAATCAGAGGCAGGGCCACAGTGTTTCAAATTTCCCTAGTGCCAGTATTCCAGAATTCTGATCTATATCGTACGGGAGGGAGTGTGTGCTCCCAAAATAGCTGAGGGCAGACTTGTTTTCATAAGTGGGAAATTAGAATTAATATGACGATGAAAACAAAGAATTGTGAGGGATGATGGTTCCTGCATCTGAGTCATGAAGAATTCATTCCTTTTGAACAATTTGTTGTTAAAAGAGGTACTGAGCCGGGCACGTGGAGCTGAAACCCCCTCCTCAACCTCCTCATCCACTGAACCCACTTGACCTCTGACTTCTGAGCCCAAGGTGCTGTGCTGGGCTCAGTGAAACTTAAGAAATGATCACAGGCTCTGCCCTCAGGACCTCCAAACAGAGGGGTGAGAAACAAGTGCACCAGCTTGGTGGGAACACCTGACTTGGGTGGAGGTGGGCCGAGACGGCAGGGTCAAGTCCAGAAGGAGGGTTATGCCCTGGGAAAGGATCGTCATCAGGGGTGTAGGGGTGACAGCCATGAAAAGTTGCTGAAAGGACCCACAGGAGAGGGGGCCCAGACTTCGCTAGTTTCACGACATTGTTGAACGGGTGGCCAGGGAAGGCATAGAAAGGGCTGGCTCAGGTGTCAACAGGAAAAGGAAAAAGGGGTGGAAAACATGGCTGGACGAAGTAATGCTCTATTCACAATTCAAGTCCCGCTTCCGGCTCTGTGCGTAGGAAGAGCGCGGTTTCACCTGCAGGCCGAAGCCCTGGGGAGCACAGTCGGGGAGCACCGCCCTGGGGAACACACAGTCCCTGCGCCCCTTTGTCCAGCTGTGAGCGTTACTGAACCCCGAGGCAGGCAGCTTTCGAGCCGAGCTGTACTCAGGAATGTTGGGAAAATTTGAAAATTTTATGGTCTGAAGAGTAGGCCTTAACACTTCAGTTTTTATTCTCTCAAAGAGCTTATAAATCCCTCTTCATTTAGCAGTTTTCAAGAAAGTGACAGCTTTTGTTAGTCAGGCTAAAGGGAGATTAGAAATAAAAATTTTAACCATTAATCCTCACTGATTAAAGTGAAACCAGGAATCAAATTGTTACCAACTGTGTGCTAATTTCAGCTTAATTCTTTGGCAAGAGATGTTGGAAATTTTCAGCTGGCTGCACTAATGCACAATGCCTTCCTACGGATGGCAGTGAGTCAAGGTCTCCATCCCTCCTGGGCCCAGGGTGTGAACAATGACTATTTCAAAATCAGTCCAATAAAATATAAACACTAAATCCTTAGCGGTGTTGTTTCTCAGCCGTCACTTTCCACACCACTCCCCGCTCAACCCCCACCCCCATCCACCACCGGCCTCCTCCTGCTCCACCAACAGCAAGGAAAAAAATCTCTCCCCGGAGAGTAGAAAATCACAGCTGAAGGGCCGGCCCCGCCGCATCAAACAGAACGTCTGCGGCATCAAAGCAGGTGTCGCCCCACACAAGCCATTTCTGTTGCGCACAGCGCGGGGAGGGGAGGGGGGACTTCATGCCAATAAGCCACATCAATTCATCAATCACAATGAATCCGTGCGCTAATTAAACTAGCAAAAATAAAAAAGGCATTTGTATTACAGACGGGAGAACAGGGTGGGGAGGGAAGTGGGGAGGTAAAACTGCAGGGAAGTGAGACCTTGACAGACGCAGCACCGGAGAGAAAAGGCAGCCCATACCTGACCGGAATTCACAGCAAGTATTTCCTTACCTTAAAAATAAATAAGTAAACAATGGGCACTGACATACACACAAAGGCGAGTGTTATCCTGGTCGTGCTGAGCGGTGGCATTAGCAGCAGTGCCGCCTGGATGGTGAACATTCAGCAGAGGAGTCCTAAGAACAATAAAAACCTCCACCCCTCTCCTCTTCACATCCATTTCTAGTTTATCACTGAACTCTTTCTTCTTTTGATGACTTTCCAGAATCGCTATGTACAGCTGTATGGTTAGTGCACTGCCCCAAATCTCTAAACTGTGGCTAAAATTTAGTCCAGGTTCTTGACATAAAGTTGTCATTGGGATGAGGCACACCTTTCTTCTTCAAGGTGCCCTCAGCCTGTGCACCTAGAGAGTTGTGTCACCCCAGAAGTTAGCAGGAGTCCTCATTCTTGCTTCATCCACTTCTCTTGTCTCCTGCCTGTTTCCTCCTTCTGAACTTTGAACCCAATTCCCCTGCAGCTGCTTCTGTAGATCATAAATACCTGCACTAAAAGCGGGGAGGGCCTCAATTATTGATTGAAGTGTTTCATCTATACGACACCAAGTACCCACATAGAGGGGAAACATCTTACTGTCTCGCTTTGTGTAGACAAAACATCTGGTTGATCAATTTTGTACCCTACTGCACCCACTCCCAGGCTGGGCTGTTCTTCACACGGTACGAATTCCTGTTGCCCTGGGTTCTAGGAGTCCAAATTAACCGCTACATCTGGCTCTGAAAGTTAATCAGAGTCAAAGAGGCTGTTTTCCTTTTTATAATAAACAGCATTCTGCCTGCCCATATGCTAAATATCCTGGCAGTTTTTATCTTTCATCCAGTAGTTCTGATGGTTCATTTGACAACAATACACTTCTACTGTCTCTTGTCTGTGTTGTGGTTATAGTAGAAGAACTTTAACATTTGCCTCATATTCCAATATTACAGTCTTTCAGACACATCTTTTGCTTTGAAAGCTGAGGTTTGAAAACCAGGACTCTAGCAGATGAGCTCCTTAAAAGGAATATCCAGGCAAACAGTTGGCCCAGACTAAACTGTCCATTGAAAGATGGAGAAAAGATATTACCATATCAGGTATTTCATTCAAGTCTAGCTTCATCTCCACGCATTGATCCTTGTGAGCTAATTGGCAAATGCCATTCTCTCTACTTTCCCAAAAAGAGGAGCAGTGACCGCTCACATAAATGGCAGGTCGGAGTCCGACAGTGAGTCCACACACTGCAGAGAACTTTCCCGATCTTCCCCAAACTGGCCCCAGGGTAATATAGTTGGTGCTCAGTGCACAAGGGGTAAAAAAATAAAACTCCTTTTCTGTTCCCCAAGGCAGACTGTGAAACTGTAAAGAAGAGCTGGCATTTTGTTTTATTTTGTGTAATAAACTGTTCTTTTCACAGCAGTAGGCCCTGGGGGAGTTTCAAATATCACTGCTTGGTTGCAGCTGTGGGTGTGGCCCCTCTCCATTGCGAGGCAGCTGGGAGACCACAGCTGGCTCAGACCAAGGGGATCTGAAAATTTACATCTGGGCTGCACACTTTCAAGTTCACCCCTACCCCCCAAAACGTGTTGAGTCATTTCACAAGCCAGAACCCCTCGTGTGAAGGTTCTGTTCTTCCTCTCCCTGTAGTTACTTGGGGCCCCTCAAATAGCAGACTGACACCCACATTTGGCCCAGGCCACTTTCTGAATCATCCTTCCACTGTCCCTCAACTAGGTATGAGAAACACTTGAGTTTATAAAAGTATCCAGCAGCTTCTTGGGTGCTACAGGATGGCAGATTTCGTTTGGTTGTTTTCCTTTAAATGTAGGACCTCTCAGGTTCTTCTTGTTTGTGGCTGTCACAGTCTGCCCCAGCAGCTAGCGTACCTCCTCACATCCAGTAGAGTCGCATGCCTTGCTAGAAAACCCTTCTTTAAGGTTGTTTTTGCACCTCTGCTTCCAGCCAAGGTGAATAAGCGACACCCCTCTCCTCCCTCTTCATGTCCAAGCCCAAGGATGGACTTATCAGTGGCTTCTTTTCAACCCAGGGGTGGGATTAGTGATGACTGGATGACAAGAACAATAAGATGGATACCACTGAAGAGAACCAGAGAAAAAAACCTACCACAAGCCACTCAACTGTCGCACTCTTAGGTAGAGGCCAAGAGCAGCCTCGGGAGGCAGCAGGCCTGCCTGGACAGCTGAGGCAAGCAGCAGCTGCTGGAGCCTGTGCTGTCACCACCCCCACCAGCAGCCTTTGGGTGGGGCTAGTCCCAGCCTTGATCCCTTCATACTGGGAACCACTGGCCTCTTCAGAGGCATGAATTGTGGTCTGGCTCTCCAGCCGGTGTCGCACTGTCTGAGCAGTGTGTCATGCTCTTGGGCCCATGTCTAAACCCTGAACTGTGAAGTAGGCACAGGGCCCCAAGCATGGTCCTGTTCCTGAGACTGCCATTGCCTTCCTATCCCCTGCTACCTGTGCAGAGACATGAAGGGTGGAGATGGCATGAGGGGAGGAAGGCCCTAAAGTAAGCCTGGGAAGAGTGCCATGGTGAGGGGGCAGAGAGAATCTGACAGGTTGCTGGGTGCAAAGCCATCTTTTGGGAGAGGCTTGCTAAAGACAAGAATTAAGCCCTCATTTCAACAGAAGACAGAACAGGCCCCATAGGTACAATTAAAATGCAGAACATATGCACCAACCTTCACAGGGAGCCTCCTTAGAGGAAAGAGCCAAAGCTTCCCTGAGCCAGAGGAGTCTATGCGCTAAGCCTCAAGGAATAGCGACGAAACACAGATGAAGTTCCTTTCCAGCCAACAACTCAAAATGAGTTCTGGGGACATGGCTGCCATCTTCCCATCTCTCCTTCTTCTGCCACACTTCAGTTACCCTCACAGCCAGCATTCCTTCGTGCAGACTTGTAAAGCCTGTGTCCCTCTGCAGCCAGGGCCCAATCTGGCCAGAGAGACCCTTGCTGATAGTGACTTGTTGATGCCACAAAGCAGGTGAGGGATGGGATCCTGCCATGGCGTCCTTGAGTCTGGAAATGAAGGGGCAGCTCAGGTTTCAGTGTTGGCTTTGAACTTGAACCTTTGCTCAGCAAACAAGAGACTAAGCAGGTGCTAGGTCAGGTCATTTTATTTATCATTAACCCTTCACTCTCAAACTATTCCGTTCATGTCAGCGCAGGTGATTCACTTAGTCTTTCTTTAGATTCATTTTCTTCATGATAACACGGAGGGGTTGGATCAAGTTATTATCCAGTTTCAAAATTAGAAATAAAATTGCAATGTCTATGCAGGAATTTGCAGAGGAGTGCTCTTTATTCAAGTGTATGGTGCAGTCAGGGAACAAAGCACAGGAAATGTGAATGTCAAAAAGGAGAGGGAGCAGCATAGCATTTTCTCCAGCTGAATGGCCGTTTCCGAATTTTGCACTTCTAATGACAACACATTACTACTGAATGATGTTGCACCTAAAAGAATTTATGCTCCTCAGTGAAACAGCAACATCATCTCTGATACCCAGTGTAGAAATCCACCAGGGAGACATGGTGAGACGCCCTGTGGCTCACGAAGAAGTGATTGTTCTCCCCACAAAGAAAGTCTCCACATCTGGACTTCAGAAACCTGGGCTTCCCACCCACCCCACCCACCCCCGGTACTGGGAATCGAACTCATGACCTCGCGCTTGCCAGGCAGGCGCTGTGCTGCTGAGCTAAATCCCCAGCCCAGAAGAACCCTGGGCGTTTTGGTAACAAACCCTGGCAGTTTTTCAGATCACCTAATGCTCTGGTTCATCCTTTGTTCTCCTCTCATTTGTTTAAGTTTTTGGGTCCTAGATAGCAGAGACACAAATGCAACTCTGAAGCAAGAATATTTCAGTGTGCACATCAAATCTGAACAGTGGTGAGAAAACTGATCATCAAGACTGTTTCACCTAACATTTTTCTAAACTGAGAAGGTTCCAACAGCGAAAGTTAAAGTCTGTGGCTAATGAGGAACACAGTTGTTTTTTTTTTTTAACTTCATGTTTGGAGGGCAGCTCTTTAGGCTCTCTGTTGGAAATACGACAATGTGGGTCTGATAAAATATGACTCAGTTTCAAGCTATCAAATAGCATTATAAAATATCTGGACTAGATTTAGTTCTCCTAAAAGGTGGCAGATTGATAGAGCATGGATAAAGCAAGTCAGCTTCCGGGAATGATTGCTTCGTGAGAAACAGGGTCCTTCTTTCTCCAGAGAGACATGGACATTCCTAGACAATGTCTTAACTTGCAAAGTTCTCAGAGCATGGACTCCAGCTTGTTTCCCTGCTGAGGCCTCTGGCAAGAGGGAGAATTTCTATAAGAATTCTGGAATGGAAGGACCTGAGACTGGGGGTCAAGGGGTCACTGCATTCTGATGAGCCAGAAGCCAGTAGGACTATCACACAACTGAACCTCCCAGAACAGACCTGTACCATGTGCTCATAGAGGCCTTGGTGCTAAGTCTGCCACCTCCCTGGTCTGGCTGCCTCCTTCTGCCCTCCTCTCCCACAGCCCTTCCTTGCTGGCCTGGGCCTCCTGGGATCACTCTCTGGTTCTTTCCTCTTCTTCTATCTTCCACCCCTTGATCACTGCTCTTCTCCATGTATTTGCATCTCATTTGCATGACTGACACAGCAGAGTGGGCAGGACTTTGTAGACCCTCATTCAGTACAGCCATAAAATTGGGCAATCTATTTTGAGAATAGATGTCTGTTGACTCCAAACCATTTAGGCATCACTTCTTCCCAATACCAGAGGTTGTTCTAACTCAAGACTTTTAAAGACAACAAAGTGAATAAAGAATTAGTTAAGACAAACCTGCACTGTGAAATAAAAAATGCACAGCTTGCTAAGAAGATCATTTACACATACATGCATGTGTTTATAATGTATATAAAGCTCCACACATACTCAGATAGAATTTCCCAAAGGTTTGGCTAACTACCTCCAGATCTTTCTGGAAGCTGTTGAAGTTTAGATCAACAGTGTTCCCCCCAAAGACCCCAAGCACTCACAGGTGGGGCTTGTGGAAGGTGATTGGATCATAGACGTACAATACTCCTCCACAGAATCATCTACTGGAGGAAGGTAGGACCTGGCTGGAAGAGGCAGGTCCCAGGGGAGAGTGCATCTCCCTCCCTGGCTCCTCCCTCCTCTGTCTGCTTCCCGGCCCCCAAGAAGTAAGCAGATTTCCTACACACTAGACCCTTCCACCAGTCACTTCCTGCTTCAGAACTGGCTGACTATGGACTGAAAACATTAGCCAATGTAAACCTCTCCTCCCTGTAGTTGTGTGGGTCAGATACTGTGTCCCAGCAACAGGAACATGACTAAAACAGAAACCTTAGCAAAGACTGGTTAAAGGAAATGCCCTGGAGACCACCACCTACCATGTATCATCGCTGATTTCATCCACTGAGTACAAAATGTTCTGCTGGAATTTGCATGTTCTAAGCTCCTACTTTCCAAAGAAATCCCCACACCTCACCCCATCCCTTTCCTGTCTCCCTTTCGCTCTCTTCTCCCATCTTCCCTCCCTCTCTCCTGCATTGATGGGAGGGATCTCGCCCACTAACATGGCATTGACTAGATAGGGTAATTTATGGACTAAACCTCTTGCCCACACCTCAGAAGCTGATCCCCCTATTTGTTTCCTGAGTTGACCATTAAACGTTCCTTCCTTTGTCTGGTTTCCATGGCTGCCTACTTGTGGTTTCAACTGTCCAATAGCTGTCTTACTGAAGGATGGTTGGTTAATCTCATCATCCCAGGTACTGGAAAGTCTCCAGAACATCTTCACAGAGCAGATCTAAAGTCAGGCACTGAATCGCCAGCTGGGCCACCTACCTACATCTTGAAGATGGTCTCTATCATTTTTCTTTCCATGAGAAGCAAAACCATTGGCCCCACACTCTGATGGCCGAAGTCTCCCACACTTGCACAAAGACTCAAATCAGCCCCCATATATCGATTACACTTTCTTAACAACGCACTCCTCTGGCACTAAGTAATCAGATCCAGGAGCCAGCAAGGTTGCCAACAACACTCAGAATCTCTGAAAATAGCAAATGGAACCACAGGAAGAGGAAAGAGCTCGCAGAGGCCAAGCCAGAGCGAATCCTGGAAAGCAGTGACACCGGATGTCCAGACAGCCAAACTGCTTCAGCAGAGCAGCAGATTTTTACAGAGTTCATTCAAACCATTATGCTGCATACTTTCTCTTTTTTAAAAATGATACATCACTGCTGACAATTGGCATGTACTCTTTTCATAGCTTAGCCTTTATAAATATTACGAGTACATATCACAGCGGTATTGTTGTAACGAGTTACAATGATGTGTTCTTTGAGAGAGTGCCAGTGACTGGTTTATTTCCTTGGTGAGGGTGCAGCATCATAATAAATGTGCTATAAATCTTTTCCAAGGCTCAGCAGTTCTTTTAAGCCAAGCATACTACATGTGAATTGTTGGGTTCCCGGTGTTGCCCCCAACCCAACCTTTGAAATCTTTGCTTCTTCGATGCTTTGATATATAGTCTCCAGGTTGAAGGATTTTAATATGGCCAGTGTTCTAACCACTTGCTTCTAATAGAGGGCAGCCTTTATTATAATCTGGAAATAATTTTCATCTAAATATCACCAACAGTCATAATAAAATATGTATAAGTCAGGTAACACTGTACAGAGGCCCTGCAGGCGACCCAGAGTCAGCTATGGTCACTGCACACTAGAAGGTCTCAGGGGAGGGACAGAGGGATAGCGGGTGTGCTTTCCCAGCACACTGTTGGGGAGCATGGGAGAAAGCAGTCACCCACTACAAAGGTGACTGCCTACTGCAGAGTTAGGCCACTGGGTTATCTCAGCGCAGCAAGCCTGACACAGAGGGTTAGGAAGGATCATCTCTTCCTGCTACAAACTTACTCTCTCAGTCTGGATAGGTGGCGTGATCTTGGTGCCCTTCTTTCTACAACAAGGACCTTCACAATGGTGCTAAATCCACGGGAGCCCTTACACAATCAGGTCCCAGATGCACTGCTCCCTTCAAGGTATGATTAGTTGGAAATTGTAGGTGTACTGAAACTAAACAGCTGAATCCCTGGTCATTAAATCTCCACTTAACCCTGATAATCATACACCTGAGCCGAGAGCTACTTTCAGATAATTATCTCAACAGAAATTGGCTATGGACACAAAAATTGATCTATAGTCAGTTGTCCCAAGCTTTAGGTGGTAATTTTTTTTGGCTAAACATTAATGTATTCTATATCATTGAAGCCACACTTGATTCAATTAACAAACTCAAAAGAATGTGCTGTGGAGATGCAGAACAAGACCATGGAGAAAACTCCTGGTCAGGTACATCTTTCTTTAAGGCTCTAAATCACTTCCATTCCTAGCCAGGCTGCAGCTACTTCATTACCTTTTCCTGTGAATTATTCATACCAGAAATACTAAACCTCGAGGCAAGGGTTGGAGAAAACTTCATGCAAATAGGAAATGAACCCCACCTATTTGTAAGTGATTCTGTTTTTTCTTTCAGTTGTTCCCTGGAATTTCCTTTGTTTTCCCCTAGTTTAAGTGTTTGTGCATTTTAAATAGTTGGTGTTTGGGTCATTAGTGAAGCACATGCTTTTGCTAGAGTTGGCTTATTCTTTTAGGAAGATATCCTAAAGAGAAAAATTAATTCCTGTAACTTTTTCACACCGTATGTCCCAAGTCCCAAGTGACCTGTGAGGATGTGAATTCTGAGAAATTTTCTTTACCCACTTCTTCCTTGGGTGTGAGAATAAACTGGTATGTGAAAAATGACTTCCATCGGCAAACCCTTCCTGTTGCACAAATAATCTGTAATCTCAAAAGGCAGATGTGCAATTCGGAGGACAAGGATTCCGCTCTCCCTCTAGCATTATGGTTCCTCTCCCATATGTTCTCGTAAGTATCATGTCTGACCATCCCTTCCTAACACTTAGAGACCCAGAACTTCCCTTTTTCTGTTATG